ATAAGAGATTTTATGTATTGATGCTGAATCATTAAAGAGAGAATCACAAGAGATCTATGAATCAAGACAGAATTTGTACTGCCAAATAAGCAGAGGAGATAAATGAATACTTACACCACAGATATTATATTTCGGAAAAAAAATCTAATGATCTGAAGAAAAGAAAGAAATTTTAATTGATGACAGCCAAGACAAAGAGAGATTGATGCTCATTTAACATCTGCCACACTGATGACATTAGTGTGAGCACTTCATAACCAAACCAGAGGTGGTGACAACCCAAAGCTGGCGCAGGTCGTAGGTCACATGTTTGATGGGCATGCACATTGGGACGTTAACCCAGGATGTGCCTTGTCTGCGAGAACTGCTGATGCCAGATCTGTTGAGAGGAAAGTCATGCATGTGTGTTTATGAATAGACATGAACTGAGTGCTGGGATTTTTCACTCTTTATATCTAAGGTACAGGAGTTGCATGAGGAATGCTGCATTTTACATTATGCAGTTTGTAAGCTTGACACTAATTAAAGGAGATGCCCCAAGTCTCAGCCAGAATCCTTAAAATGTTGAAAGACAATTGCCCATTACACCACTGTAATTATATGTTCACTTCTGATTTTTACTTTTTTGCTCTTTCATTGCCAGATGTAATTCCCCTTAACACCGAGACATGTATGGAATACTGTGCTCTTGTTATTCTTGTTATTAAATTATACATACTGCAATGATGTGTGCACAGTAAAACACATATTTCTATGTAATATATAAGACCGTGAGGACCACTGACTTACCTTTGGTAGACCTTGCCAGTTGTAGTCACCCCAAAAACACTTCCGTCTGTCCCCACTTCAATCATTTTCAGTGAAAGCCCTGACACGTATGTCCAGCTACTAGTACTGCAGGAGGCTGGCGTGATATACTGTCATAAGAAGAACACATACATGGTGATGTTGTCATGATCTGTGAGTGAATACAGTAAATGACAATGTGAGATGCTACAGTGACCAACCTTAGTGACATAAACACGGGAACGTGTGTCAATTCCCCAGCATCCATACCGTGGGCCACAGCTGTAGTACTTCAACAGTCTACTAAGGTAATTCCAGCTGACAGAGCCAACTCCAGTGTAGCCCAAAGCATAACTCTCTCTCAGGCAGTAGGCACGATAGGGGCTGGGCCCGACCCCGACAACCTGACCATCACCTCCAGCATCTACCTGCAGCAAACTCACACCTGAAGACCAACACATTATATTAGCATTACAGTGCTACAATACATAGTGACAGGCCAATTAGTCATCGAGCACTGTGTGAACAGTAAATGTAACAATACATTATACAGTAAACAAACATCATGAAGATCATATTAACAAAACAATATTAATAGTTACCGTTGGCGAGTTTAAAGTTTCCAGCTACATATTTGTACACCCTGTTTAAGTAGGTCCCCCACGTTCCTGAAGGTCCCACTGTTACATGCTGGATGCTATATGTGCCCAGTCTGTACCAGGATGATCCACTCAGGAAATAGACGCGTTTGTATCTGTCCGTTGCAACCACTTGTCCCATTCCAGCGTCAATCTGATGGGCATTGTACAGCCGTGGAGCCTCCACGCAGTTCCATGCTGTGAAGACAAAATGATTTATGTGAGTAGGAAAATGGAAATAACAACAATGGTTCAACAATTAAGACTGTGAAAAGTAAAATGGGAATCTTGACTTACCATCACTGACAGCCAGGCAACACAGCACTAGCAAGAAGGCTGCAACAGCTTTCATGTTGTCTCTGTGTTTGGGAGTCTCTGCTCTGCAGTGAAAATATGGATGAAGTGCTTTCTTCTCTGTGGAGCTGCTGTCCTACAACCGATCTGTCTTGTGTGCCTTATATACTCAATGTGGACTGATACTAAATTCCATTCAAACTGGTTCTGCTGGCTGTTCAGGGAATCAAGGAGGAAATTTTTATTCTGGAAAGTTTACAAGTAGGTTTTCATTCATTTCAAATGTTTACCCGGTTTGACCTGATCAACACAAAACCACATTTCGTGGCATTCGAGTCACAGGTGATTATTCAACATTAAGATGCCATCCTTTCCAATGAATGCTGTTGTGCAGTTTTCACCAGGGTGTGGATGCACAACAAGAGCCATAGATACAATACAATGCTTTTGTTGAAAAAATAGGGACCTATGCGTTGTAATAAAAATACTTGAGTACAACATAGTGAGTCTATTTTAATATACTCCCATCCAAAGGACAGAGACAGATGGCAAGCATTAAATTTCTTCTTTTTTTTTCATTCAGATCTAGAAAATAACATCGATGCTTGTGTGGATTTATCAACAAAGTCTCTGCCATGCCTCGTTCTCCTCTTCACGTTCACTCATCTTGCTCTCTTCAGATATAGTCTGACTGCCGCAATCCACTTGTCTCCTCCTCCTCTCCGGCAGCAGGTTTTGTCCCTACTCCTCATATTCTAACGCACTCTTCTGTCAGCTGAGCCAGATTTTTACATTTCAGCTTAGGTGGAACAGTGCCTCAGACGGAACCCCCACACTCAGGGGCGGATCTTTTATCTGACCCTTCCACCACAATCAATGGCCCTGAACAATCTCTGCTAGAATAGAAATACGATTTAACCAACTAGTAACTAGTTCAACACATCAGCAAGACTGATGTCTTTACTTTTCACAAGTCTAAATATGAGAGGGCTTTTACATCATAACCAACAATTAACAAACTGAGACTCTATGCCTCCGTGCGACTGTCCCTGTCTGTCAGTGCCCAGCTCCTCTCTCCGAGCTGCCTTTGACTGACGACACACGTGAGTCAAACTTAAATATTACAGAAATATATTTACATTATCATCTTAAAAAGATCATATATTTTTGCACGAGTTTTAATGTAACCAAGCATTCTGTGTCATATATACACATCTGACTGATTTGTTACAGCTGAAACGACATGAAAACCAGATGAGTAATGAACATGTTATATATGTGGATTGACCTCCTGTTTTATGTGAGCTGTATCAGGTGCAGCTGCACGTACCAAGGTGGAACGAGATAAACCCAACTGTGAGATAAAACAATGCGCTGATTGATTCATGTAAATGGATTCTGTTCTACTGAGTGTTAGATTTAAATCAATGTGTCAGACACACCCTTTGTTTTTAGTTAACTCTTGAGCTGCAACTTAAAGGAAGTCAGTAAACACGGAGACTGCATTGCTATGAGAGAGTGTGTGTGTGTGTGTGTGTAAATTTTACAACACATTTGGCAATGATTGTAACGCTGTGTAAGTGTGTAAGCAGTGTATTTTGTATTGCAGTGGTATATTTTGAGTTCTGGCATTGGGCTGGTTTTTGGGGCTTATTTTGTTGCTGTTTAACTAATTTTGATTGGACATTGAGCTGGTTTTGTCATGCAAACCTGGCAACCCTGGACAGAACGCCCATACTCCTCCCAGACTTCAATGTGCTGCCCTGGACCGGCCTATCGGACAAAGCTGCATCGCAACTCTTGTTGCTGCATGTGGTTACACTTCTGCATGTGCACTTCAGGAATGTTTTTGTCATGTGCACAACAATTACAAACAGCAGTCACTGGCAATGAAGTTCTTGGGGCACAGGCTCCCTCTGATCATGCTCAGAATATTTAGAAAGAAAACCACACAAGCAAAAAAATTAATGAATATATACAAAACAAATTTAATAATATAAAATATACACCTAAAATATAAAATAATTTAAATACATTACTGTGTAGAATGTATTAATCACAATGTAAGTAATACTGATGAGTGGTCTTGCAAATATTACAATGTGCAAGAGGGGTTTAGCAGCCGTATGGCCTGGGGGATGAAGCTGTCTCTGAGACTGGTGGTGCGGATGCTGCGGTATCGTCGGCCAGACTCTGGAGGAAGAAGAGCCGCTGTCTGTCTTTGTCATGGAGTCTGTGTGGTGAGTCCAGGTCAGGTCATCGCTGAGATGGAGGTTGATTTCCTTGCACCAAGATGTCAGGGCTCTGAACTCCTCTCTGTCATCAGGCCAATGACGGTCATGTCATCAGTATATTTCATGATGGTGTTGGGTTTTAGTCCAGCCCATGTTCCTAGTGTTGAAGCCCTGGAAGTGAGACTCCACTTTGTCCTTGTAATGTCTCTTTGCACTGCTAACAGAACTCCAGAGCGCGGACCTGTACTCCTCCAGATCACCTGAGTTGCAGGCATTGGTCCGTGCTTTAAGTTTGGCATGATCTGATTTGCCGAACGGGGGGCGAGGGAGGGCCTTATATGCATCCCGGAAAGATATGTAAACATTGTCAGGTATATTCTCACCACGTGTAGGACAGCTAATGTGTTGATAGTATTTCAGCAGTTCGAACCCCCGGCCACAATAAATGCAGCCTCCGACCGTGAGCTCTCTATTCTGTCGATGACTGCATGCAACTCGTCCAGGGCCTGATTTGTGTCCCTATGTAATGGATTATACTTTATATATATATATATATATTCACATCAGCACAAATATTTAGACACAACAGGTAAAGTCAGATTAACTTGCTTCAATTCCAAGCACGGAAAAACTTATCCGTGCTTGGAATAATCCATTCAAATCACAGGTTACTGTGATTCATTTGTTTTGAAGTTCAATGAGTTTTAAATAACTTTGTGAGTAACTGACAGTCTCGTTGGAATGCTGATCAAAGATTTTGTGCATTGATGCTGAATCATTTAAGAAAACCACAAAATATTTACGAATCAATTAATTATGCAGCCCACCCCCACCCATACCTTCCAAGGACTGTGAAACAACACACACACACACACACACACACACACACACACACACACACACACACACCTACTCCCCCTCCCATTCTATCCAAGGATAAAACAATCACTGTGACTGAACTCTGAAATTTTGCACAAAAACATTTTTGCACTAAAATACTCAGGTTGACTGTCTTGCTGTAACAATTGCAAATCTGTTGATTTACTTTTGATTATAGCACTTTAATTCCAAAGTAAACGCAGTTGAAAAAACATAAATAGTGGACAAATGACTGCATATATTAAAAAGTAAGTATTTTATTCAGATTAGCACAATATTATGTTTACTATCATGCAGACTACGTGGGAATATAATAAGAAATTGTTAATACATACAAACCTGCGTAGCTTCAGTCTGGTCCCTTTGCAGTGCTTCCACACTCTCCTCCTCCTCCCAGCAAAAGTATTAGTGTTATTATAGATGCAGCATGACAAAGGTCAAATGTAACAAGAAGGGCTGCTAAACAAATTTTCACTGTTTTAATGTTGGTGACAATGTTGAACATTGACAATAAAGGATTCTGATTCATAGTTTTCACTGATTCCGAAACAAACAATAGTCTATTAAAGAGAGGATGAATGAAGTTACACCAAAGATTTCAAAAGGAAAGACAGAAGTTAAAAGGGATGACAGCCAATCCTGAGATCAGTGCAAATTAAACATCTGCTACTGATGACAGTGTGAGCACTTCATGACCAAACCAGAGGTGGTCACTGATTGAAGGTACAGCCTTAAATCTGGGTACAAATATTTCATTCGTTGAAAGACAATGGCCAATTACCCCACTGTAAATGTATCAACATGTTGACTTCAGATTTCCAAGTTGTGCACTTCAGTGCCAGATGTAGTGCTGTTTAAAACAGAGACAGGAAAACTGTGCTCTTGCTGTTTATGTTATAAATACTACATTGACATGCACACAGTAAAATACATGTTTGAAAGTAATATAAAAGACTGTGAGGACCACTGACTTACATTTGGTAGATCTTGGACTGTACCAGCACTGCAATGTATCATACAGTAAGCAAACCAGAATCAATGACAGTCATACACACTGCGTTTATTTATATGAAACAAATAATAATTCTAGTTACCATTGGCAAGTTTGAAGTCTCCAGCTACATATTTGTACACCTTGTTGGCATGGCTACATCCCCACAATCCCCCAGCTCCCACTGAGACATGCTTCATGCTCGTTCTGCCCAGTCTGTACCAGGCAACTGCACTGAGGAAGAAGGTCTGTCTGCGACTGTCTGATACAACCACTTTTCCCATTCCAGCATCAATCTGCCTGGCGCCATACAGCCGAGGACCCTCCCTGCAGTTCCATGCTGTGAACACATGTGGAAACATTATATTAATTTAAGATAAAAAATCTCACTAAATAAACTGTTTCAACAACTGTGACGTAAAATCATCTGACAGTGACTTACCACGGACAGGATGAGGACGAGGACGAATAGGAGGACGAGTAGGAGGACGAGAAGGAGGACCACGACCACTAAGACTCATTTGACCACGACCATTACCATAACTGACAGCCAGGCTACCCAGCA